TTCAAATCTGAGAATAATTTAGTGTATGGAGTGTGGGGTATGTTGACTGACCATTAGGATACAAAATCTCGATAAAAAAAAATTTGAAATTTCATCGTTTTAGTAAGAAGGTACCTACCTTATGATTTAGATTTTGGAAAATTTTGAAAGGTCATAACTTTTTTTCTATTATAGATAGAAAGCTGAAACTTTCACTGAATTTTATCCTTTCCTAAGGACTACAATCCCTGAAAATTTCAGCTCATTTACACTTATAGTTCCTGAGATAAAATCGTGTTAAGCAATTTGGGGTGATTTATCGATTTTTCAATTTTTCTGAGTGCCTTTTTTCATAGATTTCGGCTTCAAATCTGAGAATAATTTAGTGTATGGAGTTTGGGGGATGTTAATTGACCATTAGGAAACAAAATCTCAATGAAAAAAAATTTGAAATTTCATCGTTTTAGTAAGAAGGTACCTACCTTATGATTTAGATTTTGGAAAATTTTGAAAGGTCATAACTTTTTTTCTATTATAGATAGAAAGCTGAAACTTTCACTGAATTTTATCCTTTCCTAAGGACTACAATCCCTGAAAATTTCAGCTCATTTACACTTATAGTTCCTGAGATAAAATCGTGTTAAGCAATTTGGGGTGATTTATCGATTTTTCAATTTTTCTGAGTGCCTTTTTTCATAGATTTCGGCTTCAAATCTGAGAATAATTTAGTGTATGGAGTTAAGGGTGAGTTGATTGACCATTAGGAAACAAAATCTCAACGAAAAAAAATTTGAAATTTCATCGTTTTAGTAAGAAGGTACCTACCTTATAATTTAGATTTTGGAAAATTTTGAAAGGTCATAACTTTTTTTCTATTATAGATAAAAAGCTGAAACTTTCACTGAATTTTATCCTTTCCTAAGGACTACAATCCCTGAAAATTTCAGCTCATTTACACTTATAGTTCCTGAGATAAAATCGTGTTAAGCAATTTGGGGTGATTTATCGATTTTTCAATTTTTCTGAGTGCCTTTTTTCATAGATTTCGGCTTCAAATCTGAGAATAATTTAGTATATGGAGTTTGGGGGATGTTAATTGACCATTAGGAAACAAAATCTCAACGAAAAAAAATTTGAAATTTCATCGTTTTAGTAAGAAGGTACCTACCTTATAATTTAGATTTTGGAAAACTTTGAAAGGTCATAACTTTTTTTCTATTATAGATAGAAAGCTGAAACTTTCACTGAATTTTATCCTTTCCTAAGGACTACAATCCCTGAAAATTTCAGCTCATTTACACTTATAGTTCCTGAGATAAAATCGTGTTAAGCAATTTGGGGTGATTTATCGATTTTTCAATTTTTCTGAGTGCCTTTTTTCATAGATTTCATCTTCAAATCTGAGAATAATTTAGTGTATGGAGTGTGGGGTATGTTGACTGACCATTAGGATACAAAATCTCGATAAAAAAAAATTTGAAATTTCATCGTTTTAGTAAGAAGGTACCTACCTTATGATTTAGATTTTGGAAAATTTTGAAAGGTCATAACTTTTTTTCTATTATAGATAGAAAGCTGAAACTTTCACTGAATTTTATCCTTTCCTAAGGACTACAATCCCTGAAAATTTCAGCTCATTTACACTTATAGTTCCTGAGATAAAATCGTGTTAAGCAATTTGGGGTGATTTATCGATTTTTCAATTTTTCTGAGTGCCTTTTTTCATAGATTTCGGCTTCAAATCTGAGAATAATTTAGTGTATGGAGTTTGGGGGATGTTAATTGACCATTAGGAAACAAAATCTCAATGAAAAAAAATTTGAAATTTCATCGTTTTAGTAAGAAGGTACCTACCTTATGATTTAGATTTTGGAAAATTTTGAAAGGTCATAACTTTTTTTCTATTATAGATAGAAAGCTGAAACTTTCACTGAATTTTATCCTTTCCTAAGGACTACAATCCCTGAAAATTTCAGCTCATTTACACTTATAGTTCCTGAGATAAAATCGTGTTAAGCAATTTGGGGTGATTTATCGATTTTTCAATTTTTCTGAGTGCCTTTTTTCATAGATTTCGGCTTCAAATCTGAGAATAATTTAGTATATGGAGTTTGGGGGATGTTAATTGACCATTAGGAAACAAAATCTCAACGAAAAAAAATTTGAAATTTCATCGTTTTAGTAAGAAGGTACCTACCTTATAATTTAGATTTTGGAAAACTTTGAAAGGTCATAACTTTTTTTCTATTATAGATAGAAAGCTGAAACTTTCACTGAATTTTATCCTTTCCTAAGGACTACAATCCCTGAAAATTTCAGCTCATTTACACTTATAGTTCCTGAGATAAAATCGTGTTAAGCAATTTGGGGTGATTTATCGATTTTTCAATTTTTCTGAGTGCCTTTTTTCATAGATTTCATCTTCAAATCTGAGAATAATTTAGTGTATGGAGTGTGGGGTATGTTGACTGACCATTAGGATACAAAATCTCGATAAAAAAAAATTTGAAATTTCATCGTTTTAGTAAGAAGGTACCTACCTTATGATTTAGATTTTGGAAAATTTTGAAAGGTCATAACTTTTTTTCTATTATAGATAGAAAGCTGAAACTTTCACTGAATTTTATCCTTTCCTAAGGACTACAATCCCTGAAAATTTCAGCTCATTTACACTTATAGTTCCTGAGATAAAATCGTGTTAAGCAATTTGGGGTGATTTATCGATTTTTCAATTTTTCTGAGTGCCTTTTTTCATAGATTTCGGCTTCAAATCTGAGAATAATTTAGTGTATGGAGTTTGGGGGATGTTAATTGACCATTAGGAAACAAAATCTCAATGAAAAAAAATTTGAAATTTCATCGTTTTAGTAAGAAGGTACCTACCTTATGATTTAGATTTTGGAAAATTTTGAAAGGTCATAACTTTTTTTCTATTATAGATAGAAAGCTGAAACTTTCACTGAATTTTATCCTTTCCTAAGGACTACAATCCCTGAAAATTTCAGCTCATTTACACTTATAGTTCCTGAGATAAAATCGTGTTAAGCAATTTGGGGTGATTTATCGATTTTTCAATTTTTCTGAGTGCCTTTTTTCATAGATTTCGGCTTCAAATCTGAGAATAATTTAGTATATGGAGTTTGGGGGATGTTAATTGACCATTAGGAAACAAAATCTCAACGAAAAAAAATTTGAAATTTCATCGTTTTAGTAAGAAGGTACCTACCTTATAATTTAGATTTTGGAAAATTTTGAAAGGTCATAACTTTTTTTCTATTATAGATAGAAAGCTGAAACTTTCACTGAATTTTATCCTTTCCTAAGGACTACAATCCCTGAAAATTTCAGCTCATTTACACTTATAGTTCCTGAGATAAAATCGTGTTAAGCAATTTGGGGTGATTTATCGATTTTTCAATTTTTCTGAGTGCCTTTTTTCATAGATTTCGGCTTCAAATCTGAGAATAATTTAGTATATGGAGTTTGGGGGATGTTAATTGACCATTAGGAAACAAAATCTCAACGAAAAAAAATTTGAAATTTCATCGTTTTAGTAAGAAGGTACCTACCTTATAATTTAGATTTTGGAAAATTTTGAAAGGTCATAACTTTTTTTCTATTATAGATAGAAAGCTGAAACTTTCACTGAATTTTATCCTTTCCTAAGGACTACAATCCCTGAAAATTTCAGCTCATTTACACTTATAGTTCCTGAGATAAAATCGTGTTAAGCAATTTGGGGTGATTTATCGATTTTTCAATTTTTCTGAGTGCCTTTTTTCATAGATTTCGGCTTCAAATCTGAGAATAATTTAGTATATGGAGTTTGGGGGATGTTAATTGACCATTAGGAAACAAAATCTCAACGAAAAAAAATTTGAAATTTCATCGTTTTAGTAAGAAGGTACCTACCTTATAATTTAGATTTTGGAAAATTTTGAAAGGTCATAACTTTTTTTCTATTATAGATAGAAAGCTGAAACTTTCACTGAATTTTATCCTTTCCTAAGGACTACAATCCCTGAAAATTTCAGCTCATTTACACTTATAGTTCCTGAGATAAAATCGTGTTAAGCAATTTGGGGTGATTTATCGATTTTTCAATTTTTCTGAGTGCCTTTTTTCATAGATTTCGGCTTCAAATCTGAGAATAATTTAGTATATGGAGTTTGGGGGATGTTAATTGACCATTAGGAAACAAAATCTCAACGAAAAAAAATTTGAAATTTCATCGTTTTAGTAAGAAGGTACCTACCTTATAATTTAGATTTTGGAAAATTTTGAAAGGTCATAACTTTTTTTCTATTATAGATAGAAAGCTGAAACTTTCACTGAATTTTATCCTTTCCTAAGGACTACAATCCCTGAAAATTTCAGCTCATTTACACTTATAGTTCCTGAGATAAAATCGTGTTAAGCAATTTGGGGTGATTTATCGATTTTTCAATTTTTCTGAGTGCCTTTTTTCATAGATTTCGGCTTCAAATCTGAGAATAATTTAGTATATGGAGTTTGGGGGATGTTAATTGACCATTAGGACACAAAATCTCAACGGAAAAAAATTTGAAATTTCATCGTTTTAGTAAGAAGGTACCTACCTTATGATTTAGATTTTGGAAAACTTTGAAAGGTCATAACTTTTTTTCTATTTTAGATAGAAAGCTGAAACTTTCACTGAATTTTATCCCTTCCGAAGGAATACAATCCCTGAAAATTTCAGCTCATTTACACTTATAGTTTCTGAGATAAAATCGTGTTAAGCAATTGGGGTGATTTATCAATTTTTTTGAGTGCCTTTTTTCATAGATTTCGGCTTCAAATCTGAGAATAATTTAGTCTATGGAGTTTGGGGGATGTTGATTGACCATTAGGACATAAAATCTCAACAAGAAAAAAAAATTAAATTTCATCGTTTTAGTAAGAAGATGAAACTGAAATTTTCAGCGATTTTTATCCCAGTAGAGGACTACAATCCCTGCAAATTTCAGCTCATTTAGACTTATAGTTTCAGAAATAAGCAGTTTCCTCTCCTTCTTCCCTCAAACATTTATATTTCGCCATTAACAAATACATTTATTAATAAGCTCAAAATACATTCAACATTCAATAAAAATTACGTCTTAAAAAAACACAACAAATTATTCCTATTATCCTGCTGCGTACAAGGTAAATACTCTCTCTTAATCCTAATGCCTCTTATATAAATAAATCTTCTGGTAAAGGGCCAAACCCCAGTCCGCTTATCTCCGTCCCAACACAAATAATTCCGGTTGCGTCATGGGTCGATAATCAAATTACTCCCCATGCAATCAGCCAAAATGTCCAAAATATCCAAAATCAACGCCTTGTCCAGCATCTTGAACCGGGGCTGTCTTACAACTTTAGTAAAATTAAGCGCGATCAAGTCCAAGGCGTATTTTTTCATGTCTGTAGCCTGGATGCGATCAGCTGCTTCTAAAACTTCAATAACAGTCTCATGTGTGACGTTTCTTTCCAGGTTTTGCTTGCAAAAGGCTTGCAAACGTATATTTGAAAAGTTGAAAAAAGATGCTGAAGCAAAAAGGTATAGGGAGTCTTCTGGAGGCATTTTAGTTTCACCGTAGTAAATGTAGCGTAGTAAAGTGTCGAAGGATTTTTTGGACGGTGTCAGCTCACCAATTTTAATCTACAAATTGTTACAATTTTAACAACTAAACGCTCTGTTCCAACCGATATGAGAACCGTTCTCGAACCAGTAATTTCCAATTTATTTGTCAAATAGGATAAATGTTCAACTTATTAAAAAATAGCCTGGTTCTGGAACCGTTTTCATGTCAGTTGGAACAAAGCTAATATCAAACCAAATTGAAATCTTACGTTAACTCTTTTATCATTTTCGTTAGGCATACAAGACCGGAATCTGGCTTCAAAGTATCCAGAACGTGCCACCAAAATAGCTTTGTGAGCTGGAATCACGTGGTCTTCCAATATAAGATCAACATCGCAAAATTCCTTGCCTGTACTCAACAGGAAGTTTTCCATATCGTCCTCCAAACAACTTTTAGATAGATCAAACATTGTTTCATAGGCTGCCTAAAATATTAATTTCAATATAACATTATAATCACTACATAGTTTAATGCCTTTTTGGGTGGTATCTGTTTCCTGCGTATAATTTGCACCATCAATTTGCCATCCAAGGTTTCAAATTCAGCACTCATTATAATGTGATTAAAATTAGTTTCCTTAACAATAAACCTCAAACATTGTTCTTTGATGTATTCTAAGCTTAATCTGTCTGCATTTTTCAAGGCCTCAACGATATTATTGAGGCAAATGGTTGTATTTAGGAATTGCACACAAAGATATTCGAGCCGAGTCATTTGAAACTCCTCAGCCAATTGATAGACGTCCATTATTCGTATTAGGATTATTTTTTCTTGATCCGGTTCGTCTTTGGTTATGTATTTTGCTGGCTCGATACGATCTGTGTAAATGTAATCAAGAACCATGCGAAATGCGTCACAGTTGGCTTTGGGAAGTTTTACTTCCAAGTAATCAGTGATGATTAGGTCGGTAACTGAAAGCAATTGGGTTAAGAGTTGTATGAATGAAGTTAGTTGATTAGATACATTTGTTGTTATCCCTAAAAAGCTTTTGGACATGTTTTTCCATAGCAATTTTAGCCTGTCGTATTTTTTCTCGTAAAAAACCAGACCGAGCTGCAACAATAGGAACATGTCCAAAAATCTTTTCCTCGTTTTCTCCTACTAAAAACCTAATATCGTAGTATGGTTGACACTCTTTCTTGGTCAACAAGTTGCCGTAGTCTTCGTGCAGGGTACACTTAGGATAGCTGGCAAATTGGAAGCGAAACATTTCACCGCTACGTACGTTATTGTCGACGGTACCACCAAATATAAACATGGCGTCATTTACTACGGCCGCTGCGTGAAATAATCGGCCTGATGGTGCGAAGGAATCTGGATCTGGTAGAACGACCTGATGGAATAGTTCTAGTTAAGGGCCTTTGTACTACCAAAGCAACATGTTTTCTATATTCTATTTGAAGAAACCGATACGCTGCTTGGATGTTTTTTTACAGATCTGCAGACTTGTACTGTACTTTTCATATTAAGCCCAATATAGACGAAGCAACACGATATTTAAAAATTACAAAACATCACTCTACAGTGTAAAGCGGGCTGATAAATGACCAATAGTTACAATGAACCTTTTTGAAGGTTTTGTTGTTTTTCACTCTGTAAGTTGGTTGCACGAAGTATAATTGGATGTTAGGACTTATCCAATTAAGCTTAGATATACACTGGGTATGGGTTTGTTGAAAATTTTGATTATTCCCGGCTCTTGATTGGGTGCTTAAAATCACATTTTGAATATTCCCGCTTTTTGATTGGCTTTAAATTATCCGCCGACCAATAGAATTATGGACTGGGCCACGGCCCTTCGGACTCGTTATTAAAATAACTCTGGCCCTTCGGGCTCGCGAATAACTCCGGCCCTTCGGGCTTGCGTATAACTCCGGCCCTTCGGGCTCGCGTATAACTCCGGCCCTTCGGGCTCGCCTATGACTCCGGCCCTTCGGGCTCGCCTATAACTCCGGCCCTTCGGGCTAGCATAACCTCGGCCCTTCGGGCTCGAGATTTAGAAAGAACATATGGCAACACTGCTTATGACACAACAAATGTTAAAAAATTGGCGTTTTAAAGTAGGACTTGTTTTCTTTGACAGTGGATATAAATTGACGTTTTTTTGTTGCCCTGTGGATTATTCAAAAACTGTACATAGGAAACTGTAGGTGTGTATCATCCTTGCTGTGGAGTTAGGATTGAAAACACTCTCACAATGTTGCCAAAAATTAAAAATTTTAGTCAGCCTACTACGAGGCTTGCAATAGTTGAATAAGGTTGTAAATTCTATTTGCTTACCATGAATTTGAAGCTGCGCAGTTGAGAAATTATCGCAGAAGCATCAAAATTTCACATTAGAGATTTGTATAGGATTCAATTGGCTTTAATTGAAGCCTAACTACGACAAAATCGGTTGACAATTGACAGAGTTATGAGCTAAAATATGAAGCGATGTCAAAAAACCAAGTAGGCCTTGTAATTTTTTTTGACAGTCGATACAAAATGACGTACAAAATGGCGTACAAAATGGCGTACAAAATGGCGTACAAAATGGCGTACAAAATGGCGTACAAAATGGCGTACAAAATGGCATACAAAATGGCGTACAAAATGGCGTACAAAATGGCGTCTTTTTGTTTCAGGGACTGCAAGCCCGAAGGGCTGGAGTATTTATAATTACGAGCCCGTAGGGCGAGAGTATTTTTGATTGCGAGCCCGAAGGGCCGGAATTTTTATAGTTTCTCGCCCTATGGGTTTGAAATCTAAAAAACTCTCGCCCTATGGGCTCGACAAATAAAAAAATCAACTTGCTGCATCAAAACTTCAAGTTAGTGATTTGTAGAGGATTCAATTGGCTTTAATTGAAGCCTAACTACGTCAAAATTAACTGACAATTGACAGAGTTATGAACCAAAATGTCAAACTAATTCACAAGTATATAGAAATTTGAAAATGCAGCCACCCTGGCGCACAAACGTCAAAAAATTTGACACCAAAGTAGGCCTTGTAATTATTTTTGACAGTCGGTACAAAGTGGCGTCTTTTTGTTTGGGGGACTGCGAGCCCGAAGGGCCGGAGTATTTAGAATTACGAGCCCGTAGGGCGAGAGTATTTTTGATTGCGAGCCCGAAGGGCCGGAGTTTTTATAGTTTCTTGCCCTATCGTTTCGAAATCTGAAAAACTCTCGCCCTATGTGCACGACAAAAAAAAAATCAACTTTGAAGCTGCAAAACTATATAAGCTGCATCGAAACTTCAAGTTAGTGATTTGTAGAGGATTCAATTGGTTTTAATTGAAGCCCAACTACGTAAAAATTAACTGACAATTGACAGAGTTATGAACCAAAATGTCAAAGTAATTCACAAGTACATAGAGCTTTGAAAATGCAGCCACCCTGGCGCACAGACGTCAAAAAATTTGACATCCAAAGTAGGCCTTGTTATTATTTTTGACAGTCGATACAAAATGGCGTCTTTTTGTTTGGGGGACTGCGAGCCCGAAGGGCCGGAGTATTTAGAATTACGAGCCCGTAGGGCGAGAGTATTTTTGATTGCGAGCCCGAAGGGCCGGAGTTTTTATAGTTTCTCACCCTATTGGTTCTAATTCTAAGAAACTCTACTCAGTGGCGTACACTCGATTGACCTACGAATGGAGATTATACGAATATATACATAACTGTATGATTATTCAAAAACTGTACATAGGAAACTGTATGATTATTCAAGAACTGTACATAGGACTGAATTCATACTAACATGGAAGGTTCAGGGGGTTGTCAGAAACAGGGTGATATCAGTACTCGATCGACCTACGTCATGTACATCATTTTTATTAAAGTGTGTCGACAAGTCAGCATTAATTTGGTATAAATACCGCGCCGAGATCCATTACCAGCAGACTAAGGCTGATGCAAAGCACCTCAATTGGGAAAAGCCCCTTAAGCTAAATCTCCCCTCAGTGCAAACTACCTTTATTGGGAAACGGCCTTCTGAGAGTATTGAACTCAGCAGACTAGGTCCAGTGCATAATACCTTTATTGGGAAATACCCTTCTAGACCTGTTTCAAACCCAGCTTCAGTCTCCAAGTCACGCCAAGTATACAAAGTGTACATAATACAGAGTGGCCTAAGTAGTACGTCCCTCCGTAGAAGAGACGTCATATTATTATTCCTATATAGGGTAATATTATTCTATTTTATCAATACATATCTTATTGTACCTAAGCCAAGCGAGTTTCTCTCTACCTGAACCTCATCTATTGTGACGAAACGTATAGGGGTTGTGACATTATCGTGTTGCTTCGTCTATATTGGATTAAATACATTTGGTGGGACAAGGGCCTTAACTGTTACAGATTACGTACGCTCCAAGTTTGCGAATCCAAATCGAAACAATGTAAATCGTTGGATAAAGTAGCATCAGCAGCTCCACCGAAAACGTACAAGTGCCTATCAAAAGCTACCATGGTGTGCCCATACCGTCTAGCTGGAGGAGGTGGAGCACCCCGCAAAATCTTTTCAGTCGAAATCCTTGTCCAGCTACAAATACTAAGTTAGTTTCAAATCAATTAGCTCGATTATTGAGTTACGTTTTTTCCCTAAAGTTAAACTGAAATAGTGAGTTTGTCATTTTTGCCCCGCTTTGTCCGCTAAAAACAAACATAGATTCTCTAGCAACTGAAACAGGGAAGTTGCAACATGTTGGCGGACATTCGCCGTTTTGATTGATTTCCTCCCAAACTTTTTCCCCCTAGAAATTATCATTTAAACATTTGACTCTTAACAAATACACCCTTTATACATATCCTAAAGGTATAGTCCACATGTCGTTCAACCTAGCATTGCCATCATATCCAGCAAAAATCCACAACTTATCATTGTAAACAGCTGCCCCGTGTGCTGATCTGGGTACAGGCATTTTGCCAGCAAACTTCCACTCAGTCCACTGAGCAGTTTTGAACTTATACTCAAACAAATCATTTTTGTTTGTTAGATTCGAGTTAGAGTGTATATCGCCCGTGTAGCCGCCAAATACAAACATAGAATCATTGTAGACTACGGCCGAGTGATGATATCGTGGGGCTGGCGGGGCCCCTGTAGCAAAAGCCCTGCCCCAACTTTTTTCTTTTACGTCAAATCTCAATAAGTCGTTTAGCATGCTTTTGCCGTTATCACCCCCGAAGACGTAAATGGCATCGTTGTAAGCTACAATTGTGTGTTTACTACGTCTAAAATTTAAGTAGTTTTAAAATCTGATTGATTGGGGGGTTTGTTACCTTGCACCTTGCACCGACGAACTCGTCACATTCAGGTAACGACCGCCAACGATGTACGGCCTCGAAGGGCCCAATTTCAAGGGTCAGGGCTTCGGATAGGGTCGTTATCGAGTCGCCTAAGGTTGGCCCTATGCCGCTCATGTTTAGAAAGTTTTTAGGGCGAGACTTGAACGTTTTAAAAGGGAGATAACTCCAACTAACCCAACCTAACAAGCAGCAAAATTGATTTTTTTTACACCCACCCCATTATTATTTCCTACTAGATTAGACGGGTTTTTTTTTTTTTTAAAACAACAACCAAACAAAATAAATTATCTTTACACATGCTTTGTGTTGCTATTGCATTTGATGTGCATCCTTTTTTATGCTGTGGCATTAAAAGAGAACACGATATGCCTGCGACATCAATGGTAGTAAATATTTAGGCGGGAATCTCGAATCGAACCAATAGAAGCGGATGCTGGCTGATAATTTGACCTTGGCGATGTCACAACACACGGAATAATAAGATGTATTTAAATTGAGTAAACAAGCTTTAATAATTAGTTTATCAGTACAGTACAACGAATGACTTCAAGTTTGGAATAACAACAACGGTAAGACCTTCTAAGATAATCCCCGTAATATAACTCAGGTATAAAATTTAGGTCCGAAAATGAAGGTGGTAGCTTTGGTCAGTGGCGGCAAAGACAGCACCTTCAACATGATGCAGTGTATAGCGGCTGGTCATCAAATAGTAGCCCTGGCCAACTTGGTACCGCACAACAAAACCGAAATCGACAGTTACATGTATCAGAGTGTCGGTAAGGCCTCGTAGTGTTATCACTAAATTGAAATTTCATCTTTATTTATTTGGTTCTTTATTTATTATTCAATAACTATTATTATAACAACTGAAACCCTTATCAACTATGTACTTTCAACTGTCTGGAACAGCTTCTACATATCTAATAGATATAATTATTTGATTAATTTTATAAGAATATGATGTTCATACAGACCATAATACATTCTGTCATCTCACATAAAACATAATGCGTTATATAATTTGGTCTTACTACAACACAATTTGAGAGTCTGTAAAAGTCGAATCAACCCTTTAGAATAGCTACAAAGCGAAGAATTTCTGGATTTGGGTGTTTATGAAGTCAAAATTGGAAAATCGAACACTGGAACATCCTAATGTGGATTTAGAAGTCTGTAGGGCTGAGACAAACAATCTAGAAGAGTCACAAAGAGAAGAAGCTATGGATTTGGGAATCTGTGAGAACCGAGGTGAGAACACTTTAGAAAAGCTACAAAGAAAAGAAACTTAGGAACTTTCCAATTTAGATTTGGGAGTTTGTGAGACTCAGACAAACAATCTTAAAGAGCTACAAACAAGGAGTTATGAAAACAAATCAAAGATTCTAGAAGAAGAAGAACTTCTAAATTTAGATCTTAGATCTTGCAAGGCTCAGTCACAGATTCTACAGGAGGCTTTAGAAGATCCAACTATTGAAGTGACTTTGTGGAACACAGTGGAATTCCCAAATTTCGAATTGAGTACCTGTGAAACTCAGTCAAAGAATCTGGAAGACAAGAATTCTGAAGCTTGTTAGGTCAAATCCACATTGAATTTGGACTCAGAAGATCAATTTGGTGGCTCACAAGTCGCAATTATCATTAGATTGCTCAGAATTATCTTCAGATATCTTCAAAAGTCTGAGAATCTTGAAATTTTTTGCAATGTTCAGTCCTTTGGCTCCATTACCCTAACCAATAAGCGAATTTTTTCATATTTTCAATTCATAAGGGCCATAAGTACCCTACTGATTTTGAGAAAAAAAAGTACACAATGTTGATAGAGAAAGTATTAATCACCTGTATGGACTTGTATGCAACTTGTATGTACTGGACTTGTATGCAACTTTTGTGTCTTACCATTCAAGAGCCTGGAATAATAAGAGAAAGATAATGATCTAAGAAATTCAATGGAAAAGAAGAGATGAAGATCCCACCATACTACAAAGCTATGGGTTATCATTGGTTTGATAACCATATGGTGTAGATGCAATGTGAATCTGTTTTGGATTTGTTCCCCAGATCTTTCCACATATCCTGTGATCTACCTTTTCGAAATGAGCATTCCAGTTTAGAGTCTTGTCCAGGATGACTCCCAAATACTTTGTTTGATTTAAGAATGGTACTAGTTCTCCCCGAATGGTTAGGGGTACCAAGTTATCAAGTTTTCTTCTCCTGGTGAAAGGTACTATAACCATTTTGTGAGGATTGATTGTCATTCCCTTTATTCTGCAGGGGAAAAATCTTCGAAAGACATCCAGCCTGTTGTTTGGCGGCTGGATAGTGTCGGATTCAAGCGGATAGTCTCATTTTCTCACTCTTCTTCCGCTTTTAATTTCATGATATTTCCCAACATCTCTGTATGATGGTCTCCCAGCTGGATTCCCTTTCATGTTATCCTTATCAACTATTGTTCTTCCACAACTTGTCTCTGCTCGGATTCTCATTGCTTCAAACCTTGCGCATCTGAAAATGGTGTGCTCCGGTGTATGTGGTTGGTCGCAAAACCAGCACTCGTCGCTTTCCTGCCTTTTGATTCTCATCAGGTAACTGTCAAATACTCTGTGCCCAGTCAAGGTTTGCGTGAAGTAGTAGTCCACTTTCTCATAATCTCTATCCATCTACAATAACAAATACTTTAGTCCATCCATCATACTCTTCCCATCTTTCCTACCACTGCTTGATTGTCTCCTTTCTTGCTACCCTCTTGTGCTCCGTCGATCCAGTGTTGCCAGATCTCACGATTATTCGTAAGATTACACGATTTTGGTCAGAATTTCACGATCTCACGAATGAGGTAGCAAATCTCACGAATTCTCTCTGTAGTAATACAAATCAGTAATCAAATATAATGTTATCGGAAATAATCGAAATAAAAATCTACTATACAATATTTAGTTATGTTACGCCGCTCCTGGTACATGCGCGCTCAAGAAAACTTGACCTAATAGCACGGCATATACAAAAACAATTAGCAGGCTCGAGTTACTTTGTATCCCAAAATGGTGGCGTGAGCAGATGAGATGGGTGTTAAATCTCATTGTTTTGCCATTTGAAGATAGGCTGTATCCTCGAATGGCGACGTGTGCAGAAGAGATGCGCGTAAGAGTTAACCTGCTGTTTGTTTTTGTATATCCTATGCTAATAGGACTGTTTATTGAGCTGAAAGTGTCTGCGAAGTCCACGAGACCCCACTATTTGTGACGTCAGCTGCAGACCTCAACTCTTGGCAGAAAATGCATTATCCGAGTCCAAAAAAACGAATTCATAACCGTTGAAATCGCCTTTTCCTAATTTAAAACTCCCAATAAAATTAACTCACAAGCACAGCTTGAATCGCAAGCCATCCATCGAGGTCTGCGGGTGACGTTACTACTATTAGTTGCTGATAGTAGTGACGTCACTCGCAGACCAGCTGCCGACTCAAGAATTGGCGAACGTACGCTTTTTTAGGATAAGCAATCCTGCGGATAATGAAAACGAGGTTCAGCTCTCAGAAACACCTGCTAAAAAACGGAAAAAACAAGGATACAAGATTTAATACTAAAATTTTAATATCTTATGGATGCAAAATCATGTCTACTCTATCAAAAATCTATAGAAGAACATTGTGCATTATTTTCTTACAAGCAATTTTAGGTCTCACGATTTCTCACGATTTTTTTTTATCGATTCTCACGAATTTTTTTTATTTCATCTGGCAACACTGCGTCGATCAGTGGCGGCTCGTCAAAGGAGGCAGGGGATGCTAAGTCTCCCCCAAAAAAATTGAAATTTCAATTTGAGTATTCCTGATTTCTAATCCGGCCCGAAGGGCTGGAGTTATACGCGAGCCCGAAGGGCCGGAGTTACACGCGAGCCCGAAGGGCCGGAGTTATACGCGAGTCCGAAGTTATTATACTCCTCACTTGAAATAATCACGAGCCGCCACTGAAGTTACCATTATGGCAAGTCTTCTATTTATGCCGGCTAATAGGTATAGAGGTTCGGTTAGTTTGGGTTAGTTGAAAGCTTCTTTTGCTCGCTTCCGGTCCGCCCACTCTGGGCATTAGCACAGCTTGCATTAGTCTCTATAGCAGCTTCATCATATGGTTCGCTGTTTTCCTTGTATGTTCTTTCATATCGAGGTTTCTATCTAGTGTTATTCCCAGGTATTTGACAGCGTCTGATGTTGTGACTTGCTTTCCTTCGATGTTGATTGTCACGTAACTCATGTTATATTTGCCTCCGTGCAGTCTCGATCTTTTCAGCCGCTACCCTAATGCTAAATTCGTCTAGTTTCTTTTTATCACTCGTCTGTGTCGCGGTCCACCATGGCCAGGTCATTCGCGTATGCAACCAGTTTTATTCCTTGCCCTCTTTTTGTGTTCAAAACTCTGGTTGTAGAAGAGGTTCCATAGGGCGGGTCCCAGTATGGAGCCCTGGAGAACACCACAAGTTATTTCGTGTCTATTTGCGCTTATAATTACTTTGGTCAGGGTAGCGTGTATGCCTCCTTCTTCTAGAGATCGGGCTATCCCATTCCAGGAAGCGGAGTTGTATGTCCAATATGTAAAGGTGAATGGGGTGATTTGCTCCCAAATAATTATGGTGTGCCATAGGAGTCCGTGTTAGGACCTCTGTTGTACTCTCTATACGCTTTAAATCCTAAATGCACGAATTTGCAGGCACAATATTTTACGTTTGCTGATGATACAGCGTTGGTTTACACTGGTGCTGATGAAAATGATTTGGTACGGAAGGTTAATGACGATTTTGGTGTATACCTGGCCTGGTTCTTAAAAAGAAACCGTTGAGAAGATTAGGACTTTGGGAATTCTCAATATAAGGAAGAAAGTCAATTGCAACAAGTAGGAGAATATGGTGAGGAAGTACGAAGAATTATAGAAATCTGTGGAAGCATTGGGGGCTGTATTTGGTTCTTCGGGTGTAAACTTTTCCTCATCATTTCTCGCTTCTTCCCATTTTATCGGATCTTTGTGTGAGAACAGCTCAGGCTAAGGATACAAATTAGCGGGTCGATGCCTCTAGATTTTATTGCTTTCCAGAAAGCCGCCTATGCTAGCAACTAGGTTACTACCAGCCAGCTCTGTGGATTTTCCTGCCTGATAGGCGTATTGATGGGTACTAAGGGGGATAATCGTGAGCGCCTTCCTCTTAATCTACTAAAGTTTTCAGGAGGAACGATGTCAGACTTATTGGTCTGAATGATTGGGATGGAGGATCTTTGCGCCCTGCTTTAGGGATATACATCACTTTGGTAGCTTTCCACACTAGACTAGCTCTAAAGAGTTTCATTAGGAATGGTAGCAGGGTCCCAATTCCGTTCTGTAGCAGAGCAGGGAAAATGCCGTTTCCCGTCCTCTTTATGGCCACCGCTGTAATTATTTTGTTGGCTGTCAACCAGTCTTCTCTTCCTGGGTTCTCTGCGAGAATCTCTAACGTTCTTCTTTATAACATATACTTTTTCATATATTAAAATGTTAAGAACAACACTGACAAAATGTTTAATTCCACAATAAATTCTAATCAATCATAATTTCAGGTCATGAAGCAATAGATTTGATAGCGCAAGCCATCGACTTACCAATATTCAAAAAGATCACCTACGGAGTATCGAAAAAACAAGGCAAAACATACGAGTATTGTAAAAACGACGAAGTCGAAGACTTGTACAATCTTTTACAAGAAATCCAAGCCCAAATCGAATTCGATGCAGTCTCAGTTGGAGCAATATTGAGCGACTACCAAAGAGTCAGAGTTGAGAATGTCTGCTTAAGACTCAACCTAACTCCTTTAGCTTATCTCTGGCAACGTAAACAAGAAGAATTACTAGACGAAATGATCAAATGCGAAGTGGACGCTGTGGTAATTAAAGTAGCCTGTTTAGGATTGGACCCTAAAAAACATCTCGGCCGAAGTTTAAGTCTACTTCAACCCCACTTATTATCAATGCACGAAAAATACGGCCTTAACGTTTGCGGCGAGGGTGGCGAATACGAAACCCTTACCTTGGATTGTCCTTTGTTTAAAAGCAGACTTGTTATGTAAGCTTTGTTCTAACAGACATTGTTGGAACAGAGCTATCAAAAACTAATCCAATTTTTCTAGTGAAGAACACGAATTAGTCATGCACCAAAACGACCCAATAGCCCCAGTAGGCTTCCTAAAATTCAACTCCCTAAAACTAGAATTCAAATTGCCCCCTTTGGATTTGCAAAGTCGTTTGGAAGGTCTCCCATTGAAAGACAGCTTAGGCTATATTTCTGATGATGATGAGAATGATTTTGAAATCAATAATATTGATGAAGCTGGAGATTGTGACAATATTGAAACTTTAGACAATGAAGAAGTTGATGTTAAGGCTCATATACAACAAAAACCAAGCTCGTATGCTAGCAAAGAAGGCTGGTTGTGGGTGGGTGGTATTCAAGGCCACTCCAGTGATCCAGCAGGAGCTTTAGAAGAAGCAATCAGTAAACTAACGTGTAGGTATGCATTTGATATATAAAAAAATTTTCATTATTATCATTCAACTTAATATAATTTAGATTTATTAAGCCTCAAAAACCACACAATCAAAGATGTCTGCTCTATAGCCTTATATGTAAGTGACATGAGTCAATTTGCCTTACTAAACGAAGTATATATAAAGACCTTCTCTCACGTAAATCCACCTACAAGAGCTTGCGTTCAGGTACCCCTTAACTGTCCAGTAATCTTGGAAGCCTTATCTTGGAAATTGGATAATGAAGAAGACAAGCAAACTATGCACGTGCAAAGTGTATCACACTGGGCCCCCTGTAACATCGGCCCTTATAGTCAAGCAAACAAAATTGGCGATTTTATTCATTTGGCAGGGCAAATTGCTTTGGTACCAGGCAATATGCAAATGGTACCTGGTGGAATTAAGCCCCAATGTAAACTTGTTGTAAGACACATTGACAGGGTATTAAAGGCTATTGATGTTAATATAAGAGATGTTGTGCAAGGGATTTGTTTTGTGACACATAGTTCCTATATAGAGCCTGCCAGAAAGCATTGGGAGGCTAAAACCAATAATGCTCTAGTTGAGTATGTTGTTGTCACGGGATTACCTAGAGGGGCCTTAATTGAATGGCACGTTTGGGCTCACAAGCATAATAATCAGTTTGAGTGTAAGTTACATTATGTTTTATATTTAAATAATTATGACATATTTTCAGATGAAGAAAGAGGCAAATGCATTGACGACTACTCGATTTTGCTTTATCGCCGAGTCAATTACGAAAACAACGTGGCTGCAACAGTTTGTAGAATAGAAAGTCAAGCCAATGGGTGCGACAGCCAGATTTTCTTTGAGGCCTTAAACTATTCCGTTCAAAAATTGAAACAGGGTCATGAGAATGATTCAAAGTGCATTTTCAACTTGAAAATATACTTTTCTATACTTAAATTTAACAATGTTGATAGCTTAGTGGAGGTAGTAGAAAACTATGCAGAGGAAAATTTAGTTTACACCTTTGTGCCAGTGGTTAAACTCAAAAGTAGCAACACTCTATTGTCGATTTGTGGCATTAGGAACCAGTAGAAGTAAAGGGGGATTTAATAAATAAAACTTCAAACATAATATAAACATCATTATTTATTATTTATCCCAAATAAATCACACAAGTGCTGATACGGGTTCCATATACAGGGTGTTTTCTAATAATTGAATGTCCATTTTAAAAAGAAAACTTAATACTGTCTTTTTTCGACATTAATGATTAGAGAAGGACCGACGAAAATGGATAAAACAAGACACCATTTTTTGAAATTTCATTAAGTAAATGCATGGCCTATTTGATAAAAGATTGTGTCAAAAAGTTTAAACGTCAAACATTTGTCGATCGGTAAAGTAGATCGCTGACAACATTAATTCCAGTTGACGTATTGAGATTTAATAACTGCTGATACGCGTTTTGTATACAGAGTGTTTTCTAACTGAATATCCATTTTAAAAAGAAAACTTGATACTGTCTTTTTTTAACGTTTATGATTAGAGAAGGACCGACGAAAATAGATAAAACAAGGCACCATTTTTTCGAAATTTCATTAGGTAAATGCATGGCCTACTTGATAAAGGATTGTGCCAGAAAGTTCAAACCGTCAGATGAGTCTTCAAAGTTTTTGAAATTCTAAACTCCCAGCTATACAACTTTTACCAATAGTGGTTGAAACGTTACTGCGGCCGTGGATAGACCAAAAGGTATCATCTTATATCGATTATACAACTCACTGTACATTATTCCCATATGACACAAGAGGCTTAATAAGGGTGGTTGGAGTAGATGTATTGTAACTTGGAAATGCAGTAAGAATTAATATTTTTCTACAGTAGAAATGTGTGTCTTTCTATCTAATACATGCTCTTGCGCATAAGTCTATTTCTCTCTTAGTGCCTTAAGTATCGCAGAATCTTCCCAGCACTACTACTTTTACCAAGGGTGGTTGGCGTAGACGTATTGTAACTTGGGAATGCAGTAAAAATTAATGAGATCCCCGGGGAGGAGAATGCGCCTTAACAAATGGAGGTAACACAAAGGGCTCTAAGGCAAGGCCTAATGTCAGTGAGGTAACTCACCATCCTTTGCAACTATCCAAATCCAGATGGATCTTCAAAGTTTTTAAAATTCCCAGCTATACTACTTTCACCAATAGTGGTTGAAACGTTGCTGGGGCCTTGGATAGACCAAAAGGTATCATCTTATATCGATTATACAACTCACTGTACATTATTCCCATATGACACGAGAAGCTTAATAATGGTGGTTGGAGTAGATGTATTCTAACTTGGAAATGCAGTAAGAATTAATGTTTTCCTACAGTAGAAATGTGTGTCTTTCTATCTAATACATGCTCTTGCGTATAAAACTGTTTCTCTCTTAGTGGCTTAAGTATCGCAGAATCTTCCCAACACTACTACTTTTCCCAAGGGGGGTTGGAGTAGACGTATTGTCAAATGGAGGTGACACAAAGGGCCCTAAGGCGAGGCCCAGTGTCACATGTGAGGTAACTCACCCTCCTTTGCAACTATCCAGATCCATATATGTCAATAGTATCAGCCGATTTTAGAGTTATGCATTGAAAACCTGCCATAGCATGGAAGGTATTGCAACCACCTATGTGCCAGTGGTGAAACTCAAAGGTAGCAACACTTTTTTGTCGATTTGTGGCATTAGGAACCAATAACATTAAAGATATTTCATTATACTAGAGGGGAGTTTGATAAATAAAACTTCAAACATTATATAAACATAGTATAATTAATTATATCCCAAATAAATCACACATCACCCTTATTTTATAGTACAAACGTTACAAAAATAGAGTACAGTTGCACGGTAATAGAGAGAGTACCGAAAATTTTCAAAAGTCATGTATGGGCAACTATTTACTGGCAAGTAACAAATTTTTCGTCTGTAGTAAAACGACCAGTTTTTGATTTACAATCACAGCCCCTAAATTCTAATATCACTATCTAATTGCATTAGTGGTTAATTCCTTTAGGCCCAATTCATTCATCTCCAGATAAACTTGTTGGTAACTATAGTTAAATTCTGACTTTATTACAACCTGTATTCTTTTACTCAAATCAGTCAGATAGCTTACATGACAGTTTATCAAGAGGTGAATAAACCGGCCCTTTAGCCTAATAATTTTGTATAAAAAAAAAAATGTGATAAAATTAAAATATTTTGGATATTGTAACCCAATAAGTACTTATACAGGGTGTCAATTTGATAACTTAAAATGCGAATATCTTAAAGTAAGAAGAACGTAATTCGGTACAAATATTATACAGGGTAGCGGGAACTAGAACCACCATATTTTGATATTAATAACCCCTTGGACCCCATGCAAGTTTTCAGACTGACACCATGTATTGTGATTCTCAAAGTTTACTAACGGTTAGTTTTAAGTTTCCACTTCAAAAACAGATAAGCCGCAACCCTTAAAACAAAGAATATAACCACTAGAGCAACAACATCGACTAAGTAACTAGCATCGGTCATGTCCAGCTCCTCCAAAGTGGTTTCAGGTTTTTTAAAGTGACAATAATTGACAAAGCATTGAAGTTTGGGCCTGTCAAAGCTGTAAGTAGCCAAGGCAGTACCTTCAAACCCATATCTGATGTAAGACAAATAAGTAATCCAACGCAAGTAAATAGGAATTGCGTCAAAGGATACGAAAAAGCCTGAGAATAGTAAAAATGGTACTGACATTACAGGTGCTAAAAAGACGCCATTTTGTACATTCATTGCAGCTCCTACTACCAAACCAACACTTTGCGCAACAAATGACACTAAAAGACAAGCACTTAAAAACATGCCAAATCTGAAAAACTCCAAAGGCTGGGCTGTCATTAAGTACACAATTGTCACATAAATAACACAGAAGATTGTCTGAAAATAATAATAATTATTATGTATTGTTTATTCACAATCTGTAGTCCAAAAGTACAGGTAAATTTGTCACCTTTCCCTATCAAAGAGCATGCTCCTCACTGACACTAGGCCTCTCCTTAGGGCTCTTTGATAGGGAAAGGTGATAAATTTACCTGTACCTTTGGACTACAGATTGTAAATAGGATATAGTTATTAAGGCTGGGCAATTTTCTCTTACCTGAAAAGGCATATCTGAAACAGTTATGGCCAAATAATAACTCCTAAGCGAATACCATCTATTGAAATGCTCTTTGAGTAAAACAGGCATTTCCAGCGGAAACGACAATATAGTAATCGTCATTGAAGTATACATAAGGAAGAGCATGTTGAAAAACAAAAATCCTAAATTGGAAAGTACCTTGTTGCCATCGTTGCCAATTTGCCAGTAAAGGGCCCCAATTAGAAATCCTACTAATATGTGGGCAAAGAGACGCAAGTACATCAAAGTCTATATTATAAAAAAAATAATCAATTGGCTAATTATTGCTTGACTCGTAACTTACCCAATCTCTTCTGCTAAAAATCAAAGCCCTATTCAAAATAATAAAAAACTGTCCCAGCTCGCTGTTGCCATATCTCTTAGTAGGTGTTTCAACTATGTGGCCTAACAGAGATGAATCTGCATTAACCTTATCATCTTCAATTGTAGTACCTTGGTAAACAGGCTCAGAAGCAACTTTCATTGATCCAATGGTGTTTTTAATATCATGAGCGAATTTGTTTGAATTATTTAAGCCGTCAGTTATGGCTAGTTGAGGTACTACTTTGCCATCACGTATGTCTTCTTGACCGTTTTTAATTGCGTTGACCAATGTCCTGGTGTGTTCTCCATATTCACCACAAGCTACTTCAATAATGTAGGAAGCAGGATTGTGGTAGGAAGGACATTGTAGGCCTAATTGGCCAAGGAACTCAACTAGTCTATCAGTGGAGCCTTGGTAAACACATTGACCATCGGCCAAAGTGTACAAGTGGTCAAACATTTCAAATAATCTCGCAGAAGGTTGATGTATAGTGCAAATAATTGTCCTACCACCACTTGCTAGAGTTTTAAGCAAGGATATACATTGGAAGCAAGAGGAGGAATCCAAACCACTAGTAGGCTCATCAAAAAACATTATAGGAGGATTACTAACCAATTCCAATGCAATGGACAGGCGTTTTTTTTGCCCCCCTGACAAACCACTAGTCATAGTTTTCCTATGGTCCAAAAGACCCAAAGTGTCGAGGATTTCTGAAATCTAAAACAACAAATTGTTCATTTGAACTATATAATATATAAAACCAACTAAGAAGAAGCCACTTTTTTGTCTCACTTCAAATTAGTTGGTTCCACACTTTACTAACCACAGATTCCTGTTCGTGTTTCATTTTGTCGCCGATTTTCAGCTTAGCAGCTACGCTCATTGCTTCGTCTACAGTCAAATTGCCATGTAGCTGATTGTCTTGCATTATGTAAGCAGATAGTTTGCGAAACTTGCTTAAATCCCTTTCCTGGTCGTTCATCATGATTTGTCCTTTGGTACCGTCGGTTCTAAAAATACATTTTTTGGCTATGATCATGGTTCTAGCGGACAAAGTCCGCATAGTTGAAAGTCCAACCGCTGCGAAACAATGGGAAAAGATAATCGTTATCTGTGGCTAGTATTTTTGAACCTTGACGATATGAGCCTATTAAATTTTAATTTTGAATTGTATGAGTGGTATTACTCATTTATTAGAACAATATTTATGTAACGATATTGTTTTATTTTTCATTTTGAGGCATATTTTGTGATGATTCTGACTTCAGAAATCGAAAGAGCATGGATTTGAAAATTTCGACCAACTCGTGCAAAGTTGGTGTAGAGTTTTAGAAATATTGAGCCTCAAAGTTGAGGAAATTTTGTCCAAAATAGATAAAATACAATTTCAATGAAACCAGAACCAAGGTCATTTCATATTGTTTACTCTAGAATCCCCGTAAACAGGCGCCTGTACTTGGGTACTAATGTGACAAAATAATAAATTCCCACGCCCTTCCAACAACCCAAGTCCTCATCAGGTACTACTTATAATAAGTACGCACGTATACAAAAATAATAAAACCATAATTAAGTCGAAACCGGTTGACCTCAACTAAAGGTTGACGATAATAAATTTTTATGATATTATGATGTGATGTCACATTAGATTATTTTTACAAAGTGTATATACATTCTATGGGGGAGGATTTTATATTAAGAATCAATAGGGGTTAAAATGAAGGTAGTAGATATATTAGACAGCTTAATAAGCACAAAATGCTTGATTTATCCTGGAGGGCAATGCGTAGACGGTATATGGAGTAATGGCAAACTTTCCGGAGCTAATTTTATTATGTGGTGCGTACGTATCATGCTAAGGCCGATTTACACGTATCCAGTAGTTCCACTTCGGTATCCTACTGGCACAAATGATGTCATACAGAACTGGAACGCCAGTGAGAGACTCGATACATGTAAATTGACCTTTACTCCAGACAATTCTTGGTTTGATTCACGGGTGTTTTTTTATATATTATCCGTTCCCAAACCGATGTCCACAGGTAGGTTCAGGTGAAATCACCTTTCAATGCTATTTGATAGGAAAAGGTGATAAATTTACCTACACCTGTGGACATCGGATTTTGAACAGGATATACATATTGACACCCCAGCTACAGCCTTTACCTGTACAGGTAAATGGAAGGTGTAAATTCCGTATCCTAGTAATACATTATCCATCACTCTTTGGAATGTTGCTGGTGCGTTCTTTAATCCAAAGGGCATTCTGTTAAATTTGTAATAACCATTTTCAACATTAAATGCTGCCTTGGGTATCGCATTGTCATGTATCTCGACTTATCTTGTCTTCCTTATTTTTCATCCAGTTCAACAACATTTGATCGACCATTGCAGTCGTATGTTTACCATAGAATACTTGTGATCTTCCTTAGAAATTTATTCTGAATATAAGTCGTTTTGTAACTTGTCCAATTTTCAAATAGACCACGAGGGAATGTTCTAGAGAAATCACTCCGTGGACTTGTTTTTCGATGTCAAAATTAGTAATAAAGTCAGTGAAGATCAGTTGGTTCCCACTAATTAGCTCAAATCAATCTTTGAATAATTATCACGCTGATTAATTCACTATTTGAAAAGTTTACCAATGAATAAGTCACAACTTATTGACTCTGTACCAAGCTATACAAGTTTGGATGCACCTTAAGTAAGTGAACAGCTAACAAATTTATTTACAAATAAATAAAATGTAATCGTATCACGTAAACGGTCTCATCTTAAAAGTTTGAAAAAGCTGGAAACATGCAAGATTTCACATTTCTGGCATTCAAATTTTGTTTCTGACCATGGTCTACTCACCAATATACTGTTGAAGTGTTCAAATAAGACACTCACCTGAAACGTGTACTTTTTAAACTAATGAGAATAACTCACATTTGAGTGAGTCAGGTTAGTATCGTAATTAAACAACATATTGATGAATAGATGGCTGCGGAACTCGCTGCGCTCGTCCCGCAGAGGTCCACCCGTAAATTTCGCAACAATTCACTCATTTGTACTTGAATAACTAGTCACATTATGTTACTAGTTTGGTAAAGTAACATTAGTAATTCCTGTTGAAAAGCAAACTGACAAAAAGTGAATACTAATCATAATCTTACAAATTTTTACTTTATATAATAAATTATTTTTTCAAATACAAATAAGTGGATTGTTGCGGAACTTATGGGTGGACCTCTGCGGGACGAGCGCAGCGAGTTCCGCAGCCATCTACTCACCAATATACTGTTGAACTGTTCAAGCAAGAGATTCATTTAAAACATGTGGTTTTTAAACTAATGAGAATAACTCACATTTGAGTGAGTCAGGTTAGTATCGTAATTAGACAAAATATTGATGAATAGATGGCTGCGGAACTCGCTGCGCTCGTCCCGCAGAGGTCCACCCATAAGTTCCGCAACAATTCACTCATTTGTACTTGAATAACTTGTTACATTATGTTACTAGTTTGGTAAAATAACATTACTAATTCCTGTTGAAAGGCAAATTGACAAAAAGTGAATAATCATAATCTTACAAATTTTGACTTTATATAATAAGTTATTGTTCAAATAAAAATAAGTATATTGTTGCGGAACTTATGGGTGGACCTCTGCGGGACGAGCTCAGCGAGTTCCGCAGCCATCTACTCACCAATATACTGTTGAAGTGTTCAAATAAGAAACTCACCTGAAACGTGTACTTTTTAAACTAATGAGAATAACTCACATTTGAGTGAGTCAGGTTAGTATCGTAATTAAACAACATATTGATGAATAGATGGCTGCGGAACTCGCTGCGCTCGTCCCGCAGAGGTCCACCCATAAGTTTCGCAACAATTCACTCATTTGTACTTGAATAACTCGTCACATTATGTTACTAGTTTGGTAAAGTAACATTACTAATTCCTGTTGAAAGGCAATTTGACAAAAAATGAATAATCATAATATTACAAATTTTGACTTTATATAATAAGTTATTTTTCAAATACAAATAAGTGGATTGTTGCGAAACTTATGGGTGGACCTCTGCGGGACGAGCTCAGCGAGTTCCGCAGCCATCTACTCACCAATATACTGTTGAACTGTTCAAGAAGACATTCACCTGAAACGTGTAATTTTTAAACTAATGAGAATAACTCACATTTGAGTGAGTCAGGTAAGTATCGTAATTAGACAAAATATTGATAAATAGATGGCTGCGGAACTCGCTGCGCTCGTCCCGCAGAGGTCCACCCATAAGTTTCGCAACAATTCACTCATTTGTACTTGAATAACTTGTCACATTATGTTACTAGTTTGGTATATTAACATTATTAATTCCTGTTGAAAGGCAAATTGACAAAAAGTGAATAATCATAATATTACAAATTTTGACTTTATATAATATATTGTTGCGGAACTTATGGGTGGACCTCTGCGGGACGAGCGCAGCGAGTTCCGCAGCCATCTATTTATCAATATGTTGCTTAATTACGATACTAACCTGACACTCAAATGTGAGTTATTCTCATTAGTTTAAAAACTACAGTTCAACAGTATATTGGTGAGCAGATGAAACGAAGAAACATTATTGATGATGAAAGTAAACCTCAAATGGTTGACGATATGATGATGATGTTGCACATCATTTACATAACTGTAGAAAGCCTGGAGACGAAAATATCGGCTACAGATCGGATTTGTACGAAGTTTGGAACCTTGGTTATGCACCTGACGATTTTCAAATTCCACAAGAACTTGCCAAGTTGTCTCAGGTCAAAGAAAACAAGGCCTTAGGCCAGTATTACACTATCAAAGATCTTTGACAATGAAATTTTTGGACTGCAATAAGTGCTATTATGACAGTGTGTATTTGGTGTTAAAGTTTAAAAAAAAAAAAGAAAAAAACACGACGTTATTGGATGAGGACTTGGGTTACAAGACGTGATCAACAAGAGATTCATCATACCTTACTTCAAGAATAGCAATGCGAAGACTTGAAGAGTTATGTAAATACAACAACTATTCAAGGATGGATGAAGATAAAGTGGGCGCAACAATATACCGTATTGACTCTTACTGCAATAAATTAACTACCTGGATTAGACCCTATTGTATAGGAGGCCTCAACTTCTTCAAAGCTCAATAAATGGAATCAGGGTCGGCTTAAAAATGTACCTAAGACTTTGCTACCACACTTAAAGATGAGAAACACATTAGAAATTAACGAAATTCCAAAACTTTCTGTATCACTATCACTATCTTCATCTAAACCTAAACTTATAATTAAGGGTTGAACATTTGTAATCAAAAAATTATGAGAATTTTCCATCTTCAGTACATGATTTACATAGTTTTTCCAGCTGTCTGACCTGATATGCAATATAAATCATATTTTCAAAACTCGGATTAACCTAGCTAGGTCATCAGCAGGTACGTTTACCTATATAAAAAGTTTTAAATTTGGGGTTTTATGATTTATCTCATAGTCAAAAGGATAATGAGGGTATTATTGCAGGGTATATTGTTGCATTTATATTATACCCCTTAAATTTGTAGCTTCAAAAATATCACCCTTCATTTCCAGACAGAACTGAGACACTTGAGAAATTGTATTAGTGTTGAAGAACTTATGGTAACACTCCGGTTTCTGGCAACAGGTGAGAGTCATGCAAGTTTACAGTATAGTAGCCGCATATCACAGTGCACCCTTTCATATGAGGATGTGAAAATATTTTATGAAATATACTGTAGTATAGGCTGCTAATTTTATCATAGTATTTACACTGTAAAATGTTTCATCAAACAACTTTGATAGTGTAATACTGGCCTTAGTCAAGAAATTTAGCCGATTCAAACCGAAACCTACACATCTATTATTCGTTTACGAAAGCTACAATTAACGTAATTGATTTATTATTATTGGAATTTGTTGTTGGTAATAATGGATTTTTGAAGTCCCAAGTGGTTTCACTGGAAGAACACATTGAAGC